TAATTTGTCCTGCCGGGCTCTCACAAATGTGAGCCTTGATAATTTTTTCAAAGACTTTGCCAAGGATGGAGGTGAGACTGACTGGCCTATAGTTGCCCGGGTCCTCCTTCCTCCCCTTCTTGAAAATGGGGACCACCTTGGCCCTTTTCCAGTCCTCCGGGACTTGGCCCGTGCGCCACGACATATAGACATACCCAAACTGTCTTGCTCAAACCCATGTTGGAGCAGGAAATAAAACCTTGGATTTCCAAGTCCCAAGCTAGGCCATGTGTAGACGAAATGAGGGGCATGTGTGCATGACACCTTAAAGCAGACTAAATGTTTTTGCACTGCTTTAATGGTGTTGGTGTTTGCAAGCCTCGGTGGCATATTGTGCATTAATTTCAGTCGCTGTAGAAAATCCAGTGGCGTAATGCACCTTAAATGACCTGGAGCACAGCAAACTAAAATCCATCTGAGGAGTTTTAGTTTGCTGCCCCTACAGCCGCGTGCAGCTCCACAGCTGCCCCTACAGCTCTGTGCAGGCTCTGCGGCTCTGCAAGAAGCCCTGCAGGCAGCCTGGCAGTAGCCCGGGAAGGTAGCCTCCACCCAAGAAAAGCGGTGAGCCTGATTTCCCCCCACCAGAGCCTGCCTGAGATGTGCAGGAGCCTGGTGCTTTCCTCCTCAGCTGCAGTGCCCTCCAGGACTTCCTGAGTCTGGTGCTGTCTGGGTGGGTGGGGGGGGGGGGAATGTAAGGGCATGTATAGACAATGATACCCAGCCTCCCCTGCAGCCCAGGGACTGCTCTGCCCGCCGGCAGCTGGCCCACCCCTCCCCACCGCCAGAGGCAGGTAAGTGCAGGGTGCATTCACAACATGGGTTTAAAAACCCACCGCTACAATTTAGGGCCCCTATTTCATCTACACATGCCCCTAACCATTGAACAATACTTCCTCTTCAAGTTTCAGAATAATACAGGGGAGATTTTCAACAGTGCAAATACCAGTTCGGTGCCTAACGTGTTCACCTTACATGGGACATATGTATGTAATTGCCATTTGTGCCCCCGAAAACCTCCCTCATGATGTTTTATTGACATTGTCAAAGGGATACAATGCAATTTAAGTGAAAGAAAATATCTTCAAAAATTTTAAAACTGTCAAATACACCTTCCTGTTATATATGTCAGGAGGTGCAACCAAGTGGTATTGAACTTTCTGGCCTCACAGGCCAAATGAGCGGCAAAGGGCTGGTTCACGGATTGGACTGGGCCCCAGGATTGGACCTACACACTGATATCCAGACTGCACTGCTTCCACCCAGCCCCGTATGCTGGGATCTGGGTCCCAGGACCCTGCATCACCTCCATTTGGGGGCCTGCACCCCATGCCACCTCAGCCTAGCCCTTGATGCCAAAATCAGGGCCCTAGGACTCTTTGAGGCTCTATGAGCTGGGACTGGGGCTCCAGGATGCTGTACTACCTCTACTCAGCCATGTATATGGGGATTAGTCTCCAGAGCCCTGCACTACCTCTACCCAGCCTTGCATGCAGTGATTGGTCTCTGGTGCCTGCACCGCCTCCATGTGCCAGGATCAGGCCCTCAGGGCCCTGTGCTGCTTCCACCTGGCCCCAATTGCCAGGATAAGGGTCATGCTGTCCTGTAGACTGGATCTAGCATGCAGGGCCATGGCCCATGGGGGACCCCACAGAGTAGTGGATGACAAAGTGTCAGGAGCTAGAACTGGCCCATAGGCCAGGCGCTGAGCACCTCTGGTGTAGACCAACTAGCAAAGAAAGGAAAATCCAGAGAAAAGGAGGAAGACCAAAGGAAAAGTTACAACTACAGTAGATATTGGACAGTTAGAGAGAAGGCATTAGGAATTCAGACCTTTGCTAGTATACCTTGAAATCTAGTTTTATACAAGCAGAGTAGTACTGCTAAAAGGATTCATTATTTTAAAAAAAATATATTTATACAGCAGATACAAGAATCAGTATAGCTCTAGTCCCATTCTAGCCAAAAAAAAATCCATAAAGTTTTAGATATGGATTCAAAGTAATAGCATGGCATAAAATATAACTTTCCTGAAGAGCGTAAGTAACTGTCTCATGGACTCTCATATTGTCTCCTCCATGGTATTCTGGCATCTGGGTCCTCCTCTAACCACTCAGTGCGCTGCCCCAGTTATCATGACAATAGCCCAATTAGAGTAGCATTGCAGGTTTCGTAATTCATTCTACGTTATACTCTAACTGTATTATTTCCTCCAGGATGCATGATACTTATAGGGACATATATTTTCAATGGAAGAATAAGAAAGCAAACCGTTATCTGTAAATGCCTTCTGGGGTTAATACCATTGCTTATTTTTCCAAGAAAGAGTTTTGATTACCATGGCTTTATTGGAGTGACCCCCTCCTTGGAACTCAATGGTTCCAAAGGCATCTGTTGGGCTGAGCTGAGTGTGCTTGCTGATAGACCACTTCTCTGACTGGATGTCATTTCGAGTCAGTCTGCTTTCATTTTTCTCATTCTGAATAATGGAGATACTTGGAGTCAGTCCAACATGTTGACCTATTAGACGCCCACAGCAACACCTATGGCATTAAACAGAAGTCACTTGCAATCAAGCTCTATACCTGTAGAAATTGTATACAATGCAAGTCTTTATAAAAAAGCATCTCATCATGAAAGGGCCGGAGTTATCAAAAGCTGTCTTATAAACAAATACATTAAAATATCTGTGAAACAGACTGAGTAAAACAATTGCAACTTTTCTTTGTTTTTCTATTTTCTTCTGCTTTGTTTTTAATCCAACACTATTTTTAAATAAGCTATGCTCTGGTCATAAGACACAAATATAAAAAAAGAACTGTTTGTAATATTTTATCTCTACACAGAATGAATGTAAATTTAATTGCAAGTTTTTCAATTAACTCGTTTTAAAGTGTAAAGTAGTAGTAGCATGCCTCATGACAATCCATCTCTCCAATGTTTTGAAAATATTTGTCTTGTATACTAAGGTACTTGCAAAGAATAATTACTATTCTTGCAGTCATTTTCCTGTATTCCTATCAACTAAGAAAATGATGCTATTATTATAATTACCTATGGGGGTCTTTGGTGCTGGGTATGATGTGAACACATTCTCTCTTGTAAAATGCTCTTTCTATCCATGATTTCTGAGCCTGAAAAAGAGAGGAAAGACATCTCATAAGCTCTATTTGCTTGTTAAACACAATTCTAAGTATAACTGAAGAGATAACTCAAATATGAAAAGACTCTTTAATTACCTATCATGCAAATATATTTGGCAGATACTTTCTATCAGAATCTAAGCTCACTCTGAGAGCAAATCAAGAACGGGTTAAACGTATGAACTTTAAACATTGTTCACATTTATTTGATGGAAAATGTTGATATCACTGCTGACTCATAAAATATGAATTATTAAACCCAAATTAATAAACAATAAGGGATAAAAGCTTTCTAGGTGGTAGTGGTAGGTAAGAAACTTGTTATTTTACAAACAGCTTTCAAGATTCTCTCTCTTTTTTGAAATTAATGTGACTTAAGTGAGCTAAACCACATAGAGACATTACATTTGTACCAGGTAAATCGCCACTCTCCTGGTAGAAATTGTCAGCATACCAGTATTCATTCAGTTTTTCATATAAGAAAGAAGCCCCATCCAGGAGAAATATCTTTCACTTTGATGCCTGAAGGATCTCCCCTGCATGAGTGTTTCTCTCCCTAGAATGAACTCCTTTCTACTTGGGTCCTCAGTGACTGGGAGAAGTCAACTAGCAGCTTCCCTACCCCTTCCTCAGACCAGGGGGACCCTGGTTTGGGGAAAGTGCAGAGGCACTTTTGCCACAGCTTAACTCTTCCCAATCAGGACAGGAGTTGAGCAGCTGCTGCCACCCTTGAGTCCTCCTGAGTCCAATGGCAGCTGGATTTGTCCTGAACATACAGATCCCATCCCCGCTCCACAGGCTGGGGAGGACCCTAGACTCCTCCTGTGCTTGGAAGCAGCACTCTTGCTGGTCCCCCACCCTTCCCCAGAATGGAGTGACCCTGGTCTGAGGAAGGCATGTGGGGCAGAGGAGATAGGGCATCTGGCAAGCTGAAATGCCCGCATGACCTCTCTCAGGAAGATTTCGACTACTGCAAATTTCCAAAGCAGAAATGTGCTGCAATAGAAATTAATGCCTATCCATGGACCTAGAGTTAAATCTGTAGAAATACAAACTAGGACAAAAAGTTCAAGGCAATTCACTATTAACTCACTGAAATGCTTTGTACAAAAACTGAAGTAGGCTGGCTGTACAGTAGGCTGTGCAGTGCTGATTTACACTTTTTTGAAGGCACAGCCTCAAACACTTTTTTAATTCAAAAGATATTTTTTCTAATGTTCTTGCTTCTAAATAAAGAATGAGATTTTTTTTAAAGAGAGAGAGGGAAACAGGTTTTTTAAAGTCTTGAAATCATTCTAATTATCTGAATTGTTTCAGATGGATCAAGCCAGTGAGTCATGGTGAATCAGCAAGAGAATTCCTAGAGACAGAATTAAATTGCTTCATAGTGTTTTGAGCCAAATTAAGATTTTGCTTTACAGAATTCAGCTGAAGCAGGTAAATCTTAACCGTTATATACAAAGAATAAAAAGATCAATTTAGTTACACAACAGAAGAAGGAATATTGTTAATGTTAATCACAAAAAAAGGGAAAGAAAGCAATTAATTTTGAGAAAACAATATACCTGGTTACCTGTTTTAAAAGCATAAAATAAATTTCAGTCAGTTTTAAGCAATGTGATGATACCTATGTAAAACTGAGAACATGAGAAAAGTGGCCTGCAAGATATAAAGTGCGACATACACAGAAAAAGAAAGCTCACCACTGTCTGAACATACACATATTGTCAACTTAAAGTATATCTTGTACCACAGAAATTTACCACTTATTTTTCATTCCTAAGGCCTGTATTTCTTGGATGTGTAGAAATAAATTTGATCTGAGAAAAGCCTTTAGGTTACCTGTCGCTTCACAATCACAGGCTTTTAAAACACTGCGTTATATTTCAATAGTGCCAAAACAAATTCAGCTAAGTTTGTAACTATGTTTATTATGTCACTGAACAAAAATAACAACTTTTCTGTGCATTTCCACAAGAAACTGATTTTTTATTATTAGTTGCTGGCTTTATTTAGCTGAAGGTTTTAGTTTTTACTTAAAAAAAAAAAAATCTGATTTCCCTTTAAAAACATCAGGATTTTGCAGTTTGGAGACAGCCCAAGTCCTAATGAACTCTAAAGGAAGCCTTATTTGATTTTCTTTGTCCTCTGTCCTGAACTGCTTTAAGAGAGTCTGGGGGCAAGGATGCATGTATATCCAGAGAAGAGGGGAACAGAGGCCTACAAAAGTCCATGAGAAGTGGGTTAGAGTTTATGATATTTCCAAATTATTAAGTCTTGGACAGCTCTAAAGCACAATCACCCCCCCCCCCTGCATCCCCCAGTGTAGAAAAGTGCCTGAGAACTACCTTTTGGTATGCCATATAATCTGGTAAATCGATATTATATTGACCAACTTTCAGCTTAGTAATTTAATTGCCTTTTCATGTGTAAAGAGCTTTCTCTTTATTGGCTTTCTGGGCTTTTTAATAGCAATTAAATTAACTTTATGACCTCCATTTAAAAAGCCAGGCCAGTTATTCAGGTATCACAATAGAAATATTTGGAAAGTTGCATTAATTTGGCCTATGTACCCCATCATTTTTCAACTTCAAGCCCAGACATGTACATGCATTTTGTATGTTAACTTAAGGAGGGATACACCAGTATGAGATCAGCAGATTAATAAATCACCTCACATGTTAATATTTCTTAAAATAAGAAATAGTTTTTCAGCTATCCAAAGTTTATTTACTTGTTTTTTTCCTTTTTAAAACACGTAAGTCCCTGGCATGTCCACTATCTTTTCTGGAAAGTATGAAATAGAATTTTAATGCTATATTTCTGGATGATTTTCTAATCGTGGTTTCCTAATACAATGGCTCTCACAAGTTACTACCCTTATTCAAAATGACCAGGTTCCCTAAAATATTACTTGCTTATTATGCTTCTGAAGTTCTATCTAAATTTACAAAAAACAACTCAATACAGACTTTGGAAAACTCACTTATTAAATACCTTTTTAAGATACAGTAGCAGTGAAACTCATCTATAAAACCACAAAGTACAAAAATGAATAACAAAATTTAGCTAATATAACAAATTTTACTGAGACCTGTTTTCTTGGGGGGGAGGGAGATGGGGAGGGAGAAAGGGAGGGAAAGGAGGTGGTCCATTAACTATATATACATTTAGAAAGGCTTAAATAGTGGGAAAATTGCATGTAGCAGATTCTTTTGCCTTTTCTTAACTGTGACTGAGACAAAATAAAAAGATCAGGTATTTTAAATATAATTATTTGAACTTGAGCCTACATACATATTTTATATTCAAATATACCATAAACTGTAACTATAAGTCTAATTTCCTGCTTGCTACAGTCATGATCCCAAATGATTACGAATGAATCTCTTCACAATTCAGTGTCACTTCCAGTCCATGAATAAATTATCTAATTGTACCATATGAAACCAGAAACTAGTTTCCTCGTTTCTCAAAAGTGAAATAAAATTACTTACAACACAGTCTTCGCAATAGAATCAAATTGATTAGAGGAATGTAACATATTTAATAAAGTTATGTATGTCAGATACATAATGACTTGTGACAAGCTAGATGAATTAATAAAGTAGTAAATGATATAGCTTAACTTTGCTTTTCATTATACCAGAAACAGTCCCTCGGTGCTAATTAGCAGAACAACATTTAAATCCATTCTGTTCAATTAACAAGTTATTTTCCTGATTTTCCCCTCACATTTAATTTGTTCTTACTTTGGTCCCTTAGACTCAATATTGCACTCTGATTAAAATATTAAAATCCCAGGAGTTAAAAACACAAAAGCTGTTTTGGGGTCTTGTTAGGGTTTTGGGTTTTTTTTACCTGAGCATCAGATGGGGATGGTGTCTAAGGCAGTCCCATCACAAATTGTGTTGTCCACATTTCACTTCTGCTGGTCATTCTGCTAACAACGTGCTCATGACTGCCCACGAAACAAGTCATTCACTTTGTCCTGACCCAAGGGATGTTAAAGTAAGCAATGAACTTGCGCCCATTAGCTACTTGGAATGTGCTGCTGTGGGATTAGCCTCATTAAGAGTTCTATAGACATTCAACCACAGCCCAAAAATGTTGCTTGATTTGAACATCTAATCTGACGCCAAAAGAAAAACAAATCCCCTGCGAGCTTGGATTTAACTGACACAAGCCCTGACAGGCTTTTTTTTTTCCAGAAACATGGCTTATGAAAGTGTGATA